CCATTCCCTCCCTCGGTATTAGAAACAGTCGGTGTGGCTTCCAGAGCAAAGAATGGGTTCCGTGGATCCGCCAGAGTTTCTCATCCTTGCTTTGATGTATGTGACTAATTTGAAGGGCTGCCTTGGATCCTAAACATAAGGGAGCAACATTTACATGCTTTCCCGAGTAGCCATTGGAGGTAGGGATTAGGTCCATCAGCAGAATAAAGCCCCATTTTGGTAGATAATCCTAATTATGGTATTGGGAACTCTGTCCTATTCAGCAGAATGGCAGGGCTTCTTTAAAATAGTCTCCTGGCATTAGGGAGGGCTGGTTAAGTAGGCAATGACCTGGAAAATGGGGGGTGGCTCATTCTTTATGGCTCCTTGTGTCAATAAGGCATGGATCATAAGCCCTGCTGAAGATGGCTGGAATCTGATCCACAATGTAGCCAGCCTGGGACCGAGGGCTGCTGATCAGGATCAGTGCATTTTCACCCGCCCATAAAGGGACTTGCTACAGGCCAGCCCGCTATGGTCCAGAGGAGAAGGCAGCCAATCTAAAAACAACAGCCGGGAGGCAGCTAGACGAGTGTTTCTTCATTGTTAGTCATCTTGATTACTGCACGCTGTGCAGATTCCAGTCTCCTTAAGATCTCCAGATTTTTTTTACCTTCAACATCAGTTTCTAATCCTTGTGCCTGAATGTTTTTAGCAAATTATTGCACAGAACGACACCCTTTTTGTCATCCCTGATTCAGAACACATGACAGGAAAAAGCACAGAGAAGACATTTATGTCAGAACGCCTTTCCCCAATGTCCTCTGCTCGACCCACCAGATCTTCTCAGGCCAGACTCCTTGACAGGCCTGAAAGTCACCTGGTAGAGGCAGGGCCTTCTCAGTGGTGGCTCCGAGGTTATGGAATCAACTCCCAGAGGCGCTACGCCTGGCCCGCTCCCTGCTCTCATTTGGAGGCAGTTAAAAACACTACTTTGCAAGCATGCACACACTCATGCATGTTCTTTTCCCAGGGGTGGTAGTCTTGTCACCTTTTATTCTCCACAAGAGGGTCCCTTCTGAAGAGCTCCTCACCTCTAGAAGCATTGCTGCAGGAAACAAAGGTCTAGGGGAGGAAGAGTCTAGTAAAACTCCTCGACTTTTCGCCAGGTGAATGAAACGAAGGATTCTGAAGATGAGGGGCTGTGGACAAGATTTCTCCCTGGGGAATTCTTGGAAAATTCTGGGGTTTGGAGTCCAAAATTCCAAACAGCACTTCCCTAATGAGAAGGGGAACAGACTGAACAGAAACAATGCTCAACAAACATTGGCTTGCTCACTTTGGCGTTGTGAACTGTCAAGTCACCTCTGATTTGTGGCAACCCTATGAATGAGCAAACTCCAAAATATCATATCCTCAACTGCCCTGCTCAGCTTTTGTAAACTCAAGCCTGTGGCTTCCGTTAGGGAGTCGGCCCATCTCGTTTTGGGTGTTCCTCTTTTCCTGCTGCTTTCCACCTTTCCCAGCACAGTGGTCTTTTCCAGAGAATCCTGTGTTCTTATAATGTCCCCAAAGTAGGACAAACTCAGTTTTGTCATGTTTGCCTCCAGAGATAGTTCGGGCTTGATTTGATCAAGGACCCACTAAAGAGGTAAAATTTCTGAAACTTTCCATTTTTTTTTTCCAGAAAAAAAACACAACAGATTTCCACCCACCCCACCCCCAAAGGAAAAAAAATGAATTTTTTGGAAATTTCATGTCTCTAGAATCCACTTGGTCATCTTTCTGACAGTCTGGGGTGTCCACAAGGCTTTTCCTCCAGCACCACATGTCAAACAAATCATTTTCCCCCATCAGCTTTCTTTGCTGTCTAGCTTTCATGCCCATGGGATGTGGTGGCGCTGCGGGCTAAACCGCAGAAGCCTGTGCTGCAGGGTCAGAAGACCAAGCAGTCGTAAGATCGAATCCACGCGACGGAGTGAGCTCTCGTCACTTGTCCCAGCTCCCGCCAACCTAGCGGTTCGAAAGCATGCAAATGCAAGTAGATAAATAGGGACCACCTTGGTGGGAAGGTAACAGCGTTCCGTGTCTAAGTCGCACTGGCCACGTGACCACGGAAGATTGTCTTCGGACAAACGCTGGCTCTATGGCTTGGAAACGGGGATGAGCACCGCCCCCTAGAGTCGAACACGACTGGACAAAAATTGTCAAGGGGAACCTTTACCTTTCATGCCCATGCATGGTGATCGGAAATATAAGAACATGGTCGATGTTGGCCTTGCTCTCCAGGGACACATCCTGACACTTGATGATCTTTTCCAGTTCCTTCATGGACTTCCCTTCCCAGTCTCAGTCTTCTTCGGACTTCTTGGCTACAACCTCCATTAGGGCTGGTGACTGAACCAAGATATACAGACTCTCACTGCTCATGGGTATTGCTTAAATACCAGATTGCAGTCAGGGGCCATTTCAGGCTAAACCATGGGGGCAAATCTGGACCCATCCAACAGCAACCACAATAATAATATTCCTGCTACACAAGAACTGGTTTTCCCCTCGGGTTGCGACACTGGTAAACCTTTCTAAACCTTGTTGTGAAATCTTTCAGTGAAAACACTGAAAGCCAGAGATGCCGCACAGCCAGAAAATGCTGAAAGCGAGAGACACTTTCCCACAGCCCGCTTCTCCCTGCTTACAAGATGAGAAAGCAGAATTGCAGAACCTAAAGACCTCCACATCGGTTGGACTACAAGTGCGATCTAGACATTTGTAAAGCGCCTGTAAAGCAGGTGGCACAGAACTTGAAAATGTTGTGGGATTATTATTTTTTTTTGAGGGGGGGGAGTTTTATAATTCTCCAGACCCTCCAACCAGCATGACTACTTTGTTGTTTAGTCGTTAAATCGTGTCCAACTCTTCGTGACCCCACGGACCAGAGCACGCCAGGCCCTCCTATCTTCCACTGCCTCCCGGAGTTGGGTCAACTTCATGTTGGTCGCTTTGATGACACTGTCCAACCATCTCGTCCTCTGTCGTCTCCTTCTCCTCTTGCCTTCACACTTTCCCAACATCAGCGTCTTTTCCAGGGAGTCTTCACTTCTCATGAAATGGCCAATTCTCGTCTAGCATGACTACTAGACCAGTTTTTAGTGTCATTGTCTAAAACGTCAGCTTTGGCACAGCTACTGTCCGCGCTGCCCTCCTCTCTGAGACTTCCTCAGAAGAATGGTTTCATATCCGCCCCCCATGCTCATGTAGGCTTGCTTTTGACTCATAAATGTACAGGAGCAACCTTTTCCTCTTTTTTGAACGTTATGCTTTCTCATAAAAGAAGTCACTGAGGGTGTTTGCAGATGACATTGAACAGCCCTACTTTCTCATGGTGTGGAGGAAACCTTAAGAGATGAAATCACATTACCCTCTCTTGGAGACATAGTCCTGCCACCCCATGTGGGATCAAACCACGGCCACTTCCAGGACCCTGTGGGGTCCATCCCTATTTTCTCTGCCAGATCACTCCCCTCCATCGTTCCCCTCAGGTGCTGCCCCCTCACGTCCCTTCAGGCTGGCTCCTCCTTCCAAATCACCCTCCTCTTAACCCACCTGACGCTTGGCCCAAGGCTGCCTGACTCGGCTTCATGCTCTCACTTGCCCACTTTGGATGGCTCGGAGGCTGCTTGGCTTTCTGCACCCCAGTCATGGGTGTGAGGTGTCAGCGATGCCCCCAAGAAAGGAGCCATCCTGCAACTCATACGTCGGGTTGCTTGGAACGCTTTCTTCTTTCTTCCCCACACTCGATTTTTCCAGAAAATCCTGCCTTCTCATGACGTTGCCCAAATGTGTCTTAACGTCAGCATTTTTGTCTCCAGAAATAGAGTGTGTGAAAGTGTGTGTACATGTGCTCAGGGAGTAAGAGGGTACTCATGGAAAGTGTATGTATGTTTGTGTGTAAGCCTAATGGTGCAACTTGGCACTTCTGAATAGGTGACTACCTTCTTGTGCACCACTGGTTTGCAAGATACTGAATGCTGGATCTAGGCCAACCTCAGTGAACTTCATACCCATTGAAATCATAACTAACTATTCCTAATAATTTCAGTGCAACCTAGTTCTTTGGCTAGGTGGCCTGGATGCAACCCCACAAGGTTAAAAACTGTCTTTCTCCCTATGGTCCTTGACTTTGTTTAAGTTCTGTATTTGTAAACTGCTTCCTACAAGAATATATGTTGTATTGATAATTGATATACATACAATAAAAATGGCTACTTTAAAATCAAATATAAGATCCCCAACCCATGAAATTTACACAACAGAGTCCGAACTGCAACACCACATGCGACAACATTTTATTTTATAGACTGGTTTGGGACATCTCACTCTTCAACAGATACCCAATCGCAGTAAACCAAAACATTAAGTTTGCAACAAGTTAAATAGGGTACATTACATTTTTAAAAAACTAAACTGTAGAACAATGGGATTTCTGATATGAGCCCAAACCCTGCCTGGTCTTCTCCAGCTCATCATCCCCAGTTAACTTGGGTTTGAATTTCAGTCCCTGTCTTCTCCTGTTTTCAAAGAGTTGTAAATATTCTTCTGCCCTTTACTGGAGGAGTTAGAACCATCAACATATTCCCAATGAGAACAAAGCAATTTTTCCTTAGCTTAATGCCTTACTACAACTCCCACCAGCCCCCAAATCTGGAAGCCACCAGGCTGGGAAGGTATTTCTAGCCCATTAAATCAATGTTCTGAAAGGGAGAATACGTAATGGTTCTCCTTGCAGAGGGCATTTCCTAGTAAAGTTCCAAGGCCTCTAAAAGTAACGAGTTTATTTATTTACAGTTATAATTTTTGAAAATCAACACTATGTTTTAGTTAAATTCATTAAATTAAATTAAGCATGATTGTCAGTTGTCTTATCTATTGTATTTAGTCATGTTATGTATTGTTTAGCTGTATAGTTTGATGGCATTCTTTTTTTTTCTGTTTCTTTTTTCCTGTTAAATAAATCAAATTAATTTTAAAAAAATAGACTGGCTGCTGCTACTATTAAAGAAATTCAAACACTGGCCTTTAAACTCATTCCAGAGTCTCTCCGTTTGTTTGGTGTAATCCCTACATTTTGCTGTGGGTACTGCTAAGGGCTTCACCTCATTAAAAAGGTCCACCCCAACCCCATCACATCACAAGGGCCCATCCTTAGATTTCCGTGTCCTAAAATCCGAAGGAATGGGAGGAGCAGAGGTAGTTGGCCCGTTAGAGCCGAAGGAATCTTGTCCCACTTTGGACAATCCTCACGGCCTCTGTTCCCTCGTCTTGGATCAACGCTGGACAAGATGCCCCTGAGATGTTGCTGGTTAGGAAAGCCCAGCATTTCTTGGCACTATGCCGGCTGTGGCTGATGGGAGTTGCAGTCCAGTCGTACCTGGAGGGCCACCCTTTGCCTACTCCAGTGTCAGATAATCTCCATGCTAGTTGTTTTCTCTTGCTCATTTGGGTAAGGCGTTTCTTTTGGGGATTCCTGCCTTGACACGGGGTTGATTTGCTCGAAAAGTTTGGAAAACTTGGTGAACCTGGCGCTGCTGCGGACATTCCTGGCAGCAAAGGCGTAAAGGAGAGGGTTGATGCAGCTGCTGATAAACGCCACTGAGCTTGCGATGTAGACCCCCATTTCTGCAACCCTCCCCAGCGCCTGGGAGGCCTCCGGATGCGGGTCCTCTGTCAGAAGTGAAGCGACACTTAGCAAGTTGAAGACATGATGTGGGAACCAGCAGAGGCCAAAGGCGATCACCACGGATGCCATCAACCTTGCGGATCGTCTCTTGGAAGGGCAAGTCATCCTCCCGATTCTTCTGCCGATGCAGGCGTAGCAGGTGGAGATGATGGCGAAGGGAAGGATGAAGCCCACCACCGTCTCCAGGAGGAGACAGGCAGCCTCCTGAGAGTTATTGTCATAGCTGCGAGCTGCACATTGGAGGCCCCCCTCTGTGTCCACCATCTCCTGAAATGGGACGATGGTTGCACCAAAAGCGATGGAGAGAAACCAGATGAGGAAGACTGCCAGGGGGGTGGTTGTCTTCTTCTTCCATCGCTGAGCAGCAAAGGGGTAGGAGATGGCCAGGAAGCGTTCGAGGCTCAAGGCTGTGATGAGGAAGATGCTCACGTACATGCTGCAGTAAACCACAAAGGCCAAGGCTTTGCAGGCAACAATCCCGAAAGTCCAAGCGCTGGCAAAAGAGTAAATCCAGAGGGGCATGGTCACGAGAACCAGGAGGTCTGCGATGCTCAGGTGTAGGATCAGCACCACTGTGGGAGTCCGTTCCTTCATTTGTCCACAGATGGTCCAGATGACAAAGGAGTTCCCAGGGACTCCAACGGCGAATGATAATCCTAGGATTGCACAGACAACGGTCCTCGCAACGGACAAAGATGGGTGGTCACTGGTCTCTTCGGGAGAACTCATGGCGATCCAGGACACGGCCTTGTTGTGGCCCTCGGCAGTTGCAACCTCTGGTGTTCTGTGCTGCCCGGAGATGACTCGGCTTCTGATGGACACAAAGATAACACAACTCCCAAATACAGCTTTGTGTTAATACAGTCAATAGCTTCACTTCCTACTTTTGGCAATTGTTTTGTTTATTTATTTTTGTTTTTTTGCTGAATGCAGACTTCCTACTTCGTGGGAAGCTGGAAGCCAGCAAAGATTTTTGTTGCTGAGATCTCTCTCTCTCTCTCTCTCTCTGTTCCTACTTTTGGCAATTTTTTTGTTTGTTTATTTTTGTTTTTTGCTGAATGCAGACTTCCTACTTCATGGGAAGCTGGAAGGAAGCAAAGTTTTTTGTTGCTGAGAGAACTGTGTGTGTGTGTGTGTGTGTGTGTGTGTGTGTCTGTTCTGTGTCTGTGTGTGTGTTTGTGTGTGTGAATTTGATTCACCTGGTGCTTCTTAAACAGATATTGGAAACAGGTACAAACAACATGCCATTTCTAAGCTGTCATTAATTCGTTCTCCTAGTAATAAAGTTATAACTGTGTTACCTTTCGATAGTAATTTAACAATTCCATTTAGCAACAGCTTGGCTCCCTCTGTCGTGGAACAGTAACTTTTCAGTTACGTGACTAGTTTAGCTGAAAAGTTACAGTTGCACCACAGAAGGAGCGGGTTGCCACATTAAATTGTAGAGGAGGCATACTAACTTGGTGCAAGCCCTGGCTTACGCTGGGCCTCATGTAGCCACATCCAAATGCCTTTTTAAAAGTAACTGAAAGTAACTGTTTTGACCGTGTTTGAAAATGGAGGGGTAATACAGTTACTTTTTAAAAGTTCCAGCTACAATGGCAATGTGTTACTTTTTCCAGTCCTTGGGAACGCGAACTTTAAAAGCAAATTTTTTAAACTCTGCTCTTCAGCCTGGAAGCCGATGCTGGTTTTCTTTCTGGGGTGTGATGGCTGAAGCCAGTCGTGATTCAGGAAAACGGTGCCTGCATCCTCCAAACAGCAAAAATGAGAAGGTAGAAGCAGAGATGCACTCATATTGGGAGGGACTGGATTGAGACTGGGTTCCCTTCTCTCTGTCATCACTCTTCCACAACACCCAAACTGGGTGGGGGAAAGACAAGATCTCCTGCATCTCCTTTGACAAATGTAGATATTTTGTCAAGTGCCTGAATGTTGATACTGATATGAAGACCCACACAGTCCCTGGGCTTTCCCCCTATTCCACCTCCACTGTATATACAGGTCCTGGGCTGTCTTCATCCATCAGCCTACATTTATTTATTTATTTATTTATTCGATTTTTACCCCGCCCCTCTAGACAACGTCTACATTCTACAACGCCAACCAGGAACCGTTCATGTGGCTAAAGAATGACTTCATGCTTCCACCTAGTGGCTGTTCAAAAGCAAACAATCTTTTCATTTTCATTTCAGTACTCAGTTTGTTGTTAATTGCCAGAGAGCCCTAAAAAGAGTCACCATAGAAAAAGGACTGCAAGTGAAATGTATAAATGGTGAGTATGAGCGGGAAATGAACTGCGTGCATTAAAAATGTGCGGCAGGAAGATTTGGTTAAAGAAGTTAAAGGGGAAGAATGGAGTAAAATGTGGAATAAAAGAATAATGAGGAATGTGTCCATAAGGGTTGAAGAAAATTGTTATAAACTTGTGTGGATTTGTTCAAATATATCCTATGGGATCCTGGCACTGAGATTCAATGGCTTGAGCACTCTCACACAGAGAATTCTCAGCAGAAAGTTTTATTTATTTATAATTTTGTTTATCCTGCTTTTCTTCTTGAAAAAGGACCCAAGGCGGCTTACAACAATGAAAGACAATATTTTAAAGTTGAAAACCATGAGTATAAAGAGGCCGCTTACATCATTAAAAGACAACATTAAAGCTAAGAACAATAAGTATTGTTCTGAGAAATGGAAAACACAAAAATGTAAAACAGAGGTAGTAATGAAAATGCATAATTATCTAAAAATCACACACAGGTAGCTGGTTACTGAGGGAAGAGAGAGGTCTTTGCCTACTTGCAGGGAGACAGCAAAGATGGGGCCAAGCTGGCCTCCAGTGGGAGGGAGTTCGGAGGGACAGCAAAGATAGGGCCAAGCTGGCCTCCAGTGGGAGGGAGTTCCAAAGTTCAGAGCCCTTCCCTAAAGCCCAAATCCTAGGATGGTTTGAGATGCAACCAGCCCAGTCAAAGTGGTAGAAGCTGCTGTCATGATGTGTAGACAAACTCCTCACTGAAAGGTCTTTCCATGTTACAGCCACGGATGAGAAACGTTTGGCCTTTAAGACATTCGAGGCCACTGCCCACAGAATTCTTTATCATTGGCCCTGCTGTCTGTGGCTGGTAGGAAGTGTGGGTCAAAACCTCTCTGAGGTCCCGGGGTGGGGGTCCACTCCTGCCTGAAAAAGTGGGGTAAGCCAGGCGACTCAGGAGAAACAACAATGTGGGCTTTTGCCACCAATTCTCACTCTTCAGCATCTGCTGTCTAGGACGGCCGCCATTTTGTTTTGTCAGTCATGACCATTGTTGCTGTTACCCACCCTGCCTTTCCTCATAAAAATTCAGTAGCTAATGATGCCTGGTTATGAGTGATATATTTTTACTCAGTGTTATCATTGCACAAGTGGGGTTTTCATGCAGAGGGCATGCCTCTGCTTGGCAGAACACGCCATCTTCTTGGGCAATCTCTCTCGGGAGAGACACAGAAGTGGCCAAACATTTCCTGGTCGTTTACATACATATGACTTCATCTTTCTAGCTGGAAAATTCCAGGTGAGTTTGCCTCCTTTGGAAGAATGGCAGGGGACCCAAGCAGCACTTGGAATAGTTAACTGTGGCAAGAAAGGCAACAGCCTTGTGACCGTGGGGGATGCTAGCAACTGTAGTCCAACAGCACATTTTTTCCCAAGCTTCATAGCAAAATTGTTAAGGCAGGGTCGTAACTAGGGTAAAGCAACTGGGGCGTTGTCTCCAGATGCCAACATCGGGAAGGCATCAAAGTTTAGAGATGCATCTACTGATGAATGTTAGAAAAATAAATAGCACCTCCTTCTGTTCCTATTTTTTTTTTTTTGGGGGGGGGGGTGACACCTTCTCGCTTACATTTTCTGGGGGTTTCATGCACATAAATCAGGGCCGGGTACGTGTGGGAAAAAGGGACCAGTAACCCCCCCCTCCCCGCCCAAGTCGCTCGTTACAACTTTTTGTTCAACAGCCTTGTGACCGTGGGGGATGCTAGCAACTGTAGTCCAACAGCACATTTTTTCCCAAGCTTCATAGCAAAATTGTTAAGGCAGGGTCGTAACTAGGGTAAAGCAACTGGGGCGTTGTCTCCAGATGCCAACATCTGGAAGGCATCAAAGTTTAGAGATGCATCTACTGATGAATGTTAGAAAAATAAATAGCACCTCCTTCTGTTCCTATTCAGGTCTCTCTCTCCACCCCCCAGAAAGCATAACTTTTCTTTTTTGGGGGGTGGGTGGGTGTGACACCTTCTCGCTTACATTTCCTGGGGGTTTCATGCACATAAATCAGGGCAGAGTACGTGAGGGAAAAGGGGCCAGTTGCCCCCCCTCGCCCAAGTCGCTCGTTACAACTTTTTGTTGAGATATTCAGACACAAATCTGAATCTTATAACTGGATTGTTTGAAACAAGCTGTTGGGAAAAGCAAACACAGCAATGTTGGCTGTAAGAGAAAATCTGCATTGGAGCAGATCAAAGTGCACAAAATAGCCTGCAAGCTTTTTTTTTTTTGGTTCTGCAAGACTCTTCCTCAGGCAAGATGGAAAAGGAAGCCAAAGGACGGGCATGAAGAAAAGATATCGGTTGTTGCTCTGTCAGCTGCAGGGTCTGCCTCCTGTTATGATCCACAGATGGAACCTAGAGAAGGGTATACACAATATTCTGTTTCCGCTAGGAACACACATGGTTTCAAGTGGCATCTACTAGGATTCTCCCAAAATCTTTCAGAAAAGGCAAAAAGAGAGAGAGAGTCTTCTTTGGTTTCTAAAGGATGTGGCTAGGGACTCCAGAAAGGGGAGAAAGTCTTCTCTTTCAATAATGGAACAATTTCTAACCAACAAATGTTGGAGTTTTTTGGCAACCTCGCATGCTGCCTTTAGTAGATTTGACCTTCCGGGGCTGGAGTGACTGTCAATCTGTCCACTGCTAACCATTCCTTTCCTTCCCTACCTCTGAACTCAAAGAGGTCTCCACCTCTCTGCTCAGCGCTTTCTCTGTCTTTTGTCTGTCGGAAGTGGTAGTCTGTTGAGGCCTGTTGTTGAAAGCAGTTAGTTGTGTCTGGCAGTTTGCTGTTGGATCTGTTCAACTGTAAGTAAATGAAATGGTTTTATCCTTCCAACTCTTAATGTCTCTAGGTGAGCTCTTGACACAGTAAGTGCCAGTTATTGGGGGAAAGGGGTGGGCTACTCCGAGGAACCTGTAGCTATTCTGCTCAGTGAATCCTTGCACTTCTGCTGTGCAGCTAGAGGAATGTAACCAAAAATTCAAAATTCTGCGGCAACTAAAACTTGAAGCAGATCTCCAGAGAGCTGGCAAGGAAATGAATCAGAGATACAAACATACGGTTATCACATGCTTCTTTTTAAACCCCTTATCTCCAAGTCTGAATGTGTGGCTTTGTTACTACTGTGCAGAAAGCCATAGGAATGGAAATGTTTTGAAAGGGAATTTCTAAGACGCCAACTGAACTGTGCCAGAAGGGCAGGATTTGGGAGTTTGTTTGCTCAGCAGAATGAGCAAAGGACAAAGGGGGTGGAGAGCAAGCACAGTGCCAGAGCTGGCTTATCTTTTTTAATTTTTTATTTTTAAAGCACGTGAACGAATACATATTGTCAGTCTAAAGAACAGGAAGCATGAGATAATCAAGCTCAGCAGCTAAAATTACCCAAACACAGCAAATAGCTGAACACTTGGCTGGCGGCTGAAAAGGGAGAAAAGGAAAGCAATTTTGAAAGGCAGAACCAAAAAAGAGACCAACCCGATAGGTTAAATAAAATCTGCAACCCAGAGCATCATCTCTGGATTCTGGA